AAAGTGTCTCAGAGATGTTTAGAAACATTGTTCTTTATTTTTTAAAAATAGTATTTAACAAAGTTTTACTTTGTTTTATAATTGACCTAAAGATATAATATAGAGTGCATTAATAGAATTGCACAGAGAATTAAATCGATTTTCAAAAAATCATACTAAATATATATATTATGTTATGTTCTGAAAATTATATATACAACTAGATAAATTTGTTATAGAAATCATAATTTTTATGTACATAACGTAATTGACTGTTTTTTGTTTAGTTATAGATATACTTCCTTATTACGAGGATAATGAAAAATAATCTGAAGCACGGACAAGCATGAATGCTTTAATAGATCTATACTCATTTTGTATTTTTGTCTGGTATTTTTCAAAATGTGACAAATCTTAGATTTGTAATATCTTGAAAAATAGTTTTTAATATACGAAAGCAAAACAGAGTACTATTAAGCTTAAGGCTTAGCTCAATTGTACATAGGAATTGTTGTAGTTATTTGTTTTAATTTTTATGATTTTATTCTGATAGCTTATAACAGTTTTTCGTAAATTTGTGATGTTTATATATCTGAAATGCTCTTCATCAATCTTGCTTTATATATCAACATGTATATTACTATATACGCATTGCTGCATTTCAGCTTTGAGATATATTGATCTATTCTTTATATATCTATTCAATTTATGCTGGAAACGTTTTCTTCAAGACTAAAGGGAGATATATACGAATACAACATACGATATTATGCAATATATTGCTATGACACAGATATTAATCTCATACATATGTATAATCCTATTCATGAATAGAAGTAAATATCGTCGGAAATAAGCTTCTCAGCTACAAAATATTCAATCGCTACTTACAAATTTTCGGAATGCTGATTTCCATGACAGTGTATCACGATAAATATGTAATGAAATAACTGAGATTACGTGCCACAAAACATTTCGTACGAAAATTTTATTCAATACTGGCTTATGTGAAAAGGCGAAGTTAAATAATGCGTGCAAAACATAAGTATAATATGTTAATGATCTAACGAATTAAGGGGAGAGCAGCTTTCATAATTTATAAAACATCAGTCGTATATTTGCTACAAGCATACTGTTTATATAAATGCACTTTTCTCTTTTGACGCATATTAAGTACGATTTTTATGCAATTAGAGTTCTTCCCAGCGCGAATCAACGCGTTCTGCCTGCATTATTTTGCTTCGTTATTTTTAGTCTTCGGTCCATAGCGCCGATAACTATGAGATTATTTACAGCGAAGCGTGTGATAAAGGGTTCACAATATACAACAGAAGTTTTATTAATCTATACGTTTTGAGTCAGCATTTAGATGAGTCACTATAGATAGTGTCAGTCTAAAACACTCATTGATCGCACAAATGATCGACTAATATTATGTAAAACACTGCAATCAAAACGCAATACTATTATTTTACATAATCTCATAGAAATAAGTGAGAATTTGATAAATATCGTGAATACCTCACATTATTTATATCAGCGACTACTGTTTCCACAGATACTTGTAGGTCTACTCATTCTGCTTGCCTGTATCTTGTTTATATTACAAATGAGATATATGTATTTCATATTATTATATGTCGGTAGACGATGATATATTTGGGTATAATTTCAATCTTCCAAGCTGTTCTACGCAGTTATTGCAACGTGCTTGCGACTGTTATTCTGCAACACCATAAATAGCAATTTCAAAACAGGTCGATCGATAGTATTAGATCATACTTAAAATGGTAAAAATTTTTTTATATCGTGCACATCTCCATTTTAAATAGAGTGCAGCACGCAACAAGAACATACAATAAGCTTATTGCATAAATTGCTTGAAAATGCATTTTAGAGATTACTCCCTTAGAATAAAGTTCGATAATTACATAGAAAGTTCCTAAACTTCAAATTTATCCTATTTTCATTATAAAGGCCACTCAAAAGATGGGACGTCATAAGATTTCGCTATTTCACTAAATAAATTGCCGTATCATAGCGACAATAAGGAAAAAAAAAATATATATATAATCGGATTATAACGTCTTTCGACGTTGTTCAATGCCTAACTTCCATTTCGTTCTATTTCTCCAATTTTCTTTCCCTAGGTCTCTCTCACTCATTTTATTTTTATTTATTCATTATTAGTGATTTTCAGGCTGTTTTGTTCGTATAATTTTATTAATCGGTCTTCGTTATCATTCATAGTATTCTCTCCAAGGGCCAATGAGTTTGCTGTTTAGATTTTCCAGTTTTGCTATTTAAATCGCCTAGTATTATTATTTCTCTGGTCTTCCCAACATTATTTCATTGTTCAATTTGTTGAAGAAGTTGTCTTTATCATAGACTGATGCATCATTCGACACCCCATATATGCCAAACAGTGATTTTCATTTGCATGATGTTTAAATAAATTTTTATTATATTTTCTGTTATTGGGTTCCAGTCAGTGAATTTTTGTTTTCTGTGAATGAGTATAGAATTATATTAATTTTAAGATTTTCTGCTCCTTAACGATTTCTTCTATTTTTTCTTTACATCCCTGAGTGTTCTATGTACCTATATTTATAATCCTTTTTCTTTGCCATATTCGTCTTTACTTGTTTTCATCGTCTCCGAGATTATTGTTAGGCTTTAGGCCGCAGTATTTAGATGCGATCAGTGAATGTTTTAGAGTGACACTATATGTTTTATATAAAATATATTCATGAATCGAGATAAATAGTAGACACTTGGTCTTGAGATGTGAGCTGTAGCGAACTCACGAATGTAATATCCTAGTTTTTAATTGACAATACTCTCATTCCATCCATTATTCCAAATTACTACTACTTAGCGATCATGAACAATGCATAACGTATAAGTTTATAGATTATGTATATAAAAGCACAAATGGATAAGATGTAATTAGCCTAGAATACGAAAATTAAGTTATTTTGGAACTCTAAACACATAGAATTACAACTATGTATGTATGAATTAACTCTACGTATGTAGAGAAGCAAACGCGCTCATGCACTTATGTGCCACAGACTTTTTCCATCAGGATGTATTACTAAATAATGATCAATCTCAATGATACGACAGATCAATCTTCGTATGCGCGGAAATTAATGACAAGATATTAACATTTGACAAATTATCAATTTTTTGATGCTCATATGTTGAAATGAATTGAGATTTACAGTTTAATTGACGATAATACGTTGATACGAACTTTTTATGATTTTTTTTGCTATGAAAGATCTGTATATGTATTAAGCTTTATATATTAAATTACCAAAACATTTAAAAATGCAGTTTAAAAGATACATTTTTTACATATATATTTATTTTGATTATTGTGTGATATTTTTAATTTGAATTTGCAAATTTTATTTAATGATTCTAATGTATCCAACTTTGATTTCCTTTTTATTGATACAAAGTTATTTGTATATTACTGTGAATATCTTTTGTTATGAACGTAACGTCATTATTTTTGTGAAATAACTGATAATGATGTGCCAATTGTATCATGGATGTAAGAACGATAGACGAGAAGACCGTTTACAAGCGATATCTCCATTTATGCTATAAATATACTATCAGTTTTTGTGATTATCAACAGTATACTACGACGTCGGATTAAGCTGATGGCTATTTTAATCAATAATCGATAAAATTATCCAACTTTTTAATGATGAATAATAAAATGGTATAAAAATACGAAGAACACATTGAGACATTAATTAAACAACAAGAATAGCTTTATCCGTTCTTATTGTGAAGCGTGCGAGTCTTATAATTTGTCCGCCTTATCGATTTAATATCACATTGTAATTATAGATGTGATATACTAAAAGCAGAAATGTATGTATGTGTAATTGTGTGTATATGTGGTGTGCTGTATGCTTGTATATGTATTGATTGCATTAAAATACTTATAGGTATATCTATATATTTTGCCTAGAATGTAGAAAATGCATTTTATGTGATTGTTTGTTTCTTTCTGATCAAAGTAATTTGTATCATAGAAGATAATTGACTATCTTCAAATTCACAAAGCACATTATTTTATAAATGATAAATTTGTTTAATTATCTTTAAAATATATCCAAATTTTATCACTACATTGATGTTACAAATAATACATATTCTGTAGATATACCTATGTGTATTTTAAGTCTTTAAGTTTTGTCCATTTAAGATTGAAGATACGATGCCTAAAAAAATGATGATAAACTAAAATTGTATAAGTGCAAATGTTAAACATCTATGCACAAACAACATGCATGCACTATGTGACACTTCTGTGTTCCTTGTCGTTAGTGCCTCGATAGAGGAACTCATTGTATATTTTATACGCGTTTTATCGTGTACATTTACCTTAAGTGCAATATTGTAATATATATTTTTTAAAGGATCGATCCTAGTATTTATTTTGTCAAATGTAGCTATCAGGAAACATGTAAAGTATACATAGAGACGTTAGCAAATTAGAAAAAAATCTTCATATTTTTTAATACGAAATTGGAGGAAGAATTTGCTGGGAAGACGAGAGAGTAAAATGACTATGTTTGTATTAATTAAGTATACCGAATCTCGCAGATGATTTCATAAGAATATAATGCGCAACGACGTCTCTAACTATGCTTTTTTATTAAAAGGAATCTTACAGTACTGTGAGAATTATTATGTACATAATCACATGCTTGCTTCCTAATTTAATTGAAACATAAAGGTTAATGATATTTACCGCAATACTATAATGACCATTTTTATATCATGTAATGGATTACGAACGAGATTGAAAAAAAAAACGTATTAATACGCATATGAGAAACATTGTAAATGATGCCAGCAACATATCTCTATATGGATGACTTTTTTTCCTATATGAATAAAAACTATGCTCTATGACATCGAATTTTTGAACTTTTATTTATTTAATGTAAAAGTAAAAGTTATTTTTAATAATTTACGCTGTGTTATGTTGAATTATTTTAAATTTGTTACGATTATATGCAAACATGAATGTACATATATATTTATACAATGTATTATATATATAATAAATTTTTCAATATTATTTGCTCGCGCGCGTTTTGACATTTTAATATTAATTTTAATATTGGAAAATTCTGTATAAATTAATTATTAAATTTAATAATTATTTAAGTATTTGGATTATTTCTAAATTATAAAATTTTTTAAATTTAAATTAATATGCACATTCGCGCCATATCAATAGTACCAATACTTCGGTATGTTTAGCGTCATTCTTCAATAAATTGTGCTCATTTTCGGAATGCACGATGGCGAGTGCGGAGTCACATTGAAATTGCTCCACATTTATAGGAAATGTAAGTATCTAAAAGAATATTGCATGCGGAATATCGTCATGTATCTATCGTAAAGTATCAGAAGTTTGTAATAAGGTATTAGATATCGCGTTACGATTGTTATTATTGTAGTTTCGATATCGGCGATCCGATTTCGTGTGTCGGTAGTTCAAAATTTTCTTTGCATATATCGCGCTATTTCTCATTGAAGCGCATCGCAGAGCAGCAGATGCATAATCATTGCTAGGTATGCATATTGTATTGCATCTTTATTTTATTGTTATATATAACTTTTATTGTTATATCTTTCAATCGTATTTTTAGTGCTAATTTGGTCATATTGGCGTATCAGCCTGATTGTACTAAATTTTTGAAAGTTGCAAACTTGCTTCTTGTAGATCGTAAATTATAATTGATTTCAGAACACGCTGCGAGAGAGAGTCGTCTTTAGATCGCTTCGTATTGATTGCAATTGGTAAAGTCTAACAATATATTATTCATAAAATATTATTGCGTACATCTCTCATATAGAGTCTGAAGTTTCATAGTAATGCATTAGGTATCCCGTACAATCACTATTACGAATTCAACATTGGCGATCCACTTTCGTGTCGGTTGAGATTCTCTTTGCATATACCGCGCTATTCTCATCGAAGTGCATCGAAAGGCAATAGATGTATGATCTGCCAGGTATGTATATTATCTTTATTCTATTGTTACATGTAAGTACATCAATCATATTTAATAATAATTCATCAATTCAACCATTTCTAATATGTATTAAAATATTTGCATATTTTAATACAAATATTTTGCGTATTTTCACGATAATTAGCCCCCTCGGGTATGTATATGTTTTTGTGCCTGTATTCTGCAATTGAGAATATCAGAAAGTCCAAAGAAAACATTGGAAAACCAAATTTTATTAAAGATTATTAGTTGTGTATAAATTGTTCAACGAATTCGATATGCGAAAAAAAATTTCACCGTGCACTAACGCCCTCTCTACGTTGCTACTAGAAATAATCAGTAAGTGTGATGGTAATCTGATGATAACAAAAAATATAATTCACGCGGGAGTAAATAGAAGAAATGATATCAGATATAAAATATCAGAATAATTATAAATCGTAAAATTCATAGTAAAATACAAATTAAAGTATAACTTATATACCATTTTTACGTTTTATCTTTGCATTTAACTTATTGTTTTCGAGAAAAAAAAAATTTAATTGTTTTAGGAATATCGGAAAGTAATGTTTCACAATAGAATATATGTAATATAGATATTATCATTGTCAAATATTAAGAAATAAAATTTTTACGTATTATTCAATTATTTTCGCAATAATAACAAAATATTAATATCAAATTTAGTCGAAAAAACACGCATGGTAATTCTTACGCATTGCATTTATTTCTCGTACAACTAATCACATTTATTACACCACAATACACGACGGTACACTTAATAATTTAATCGAGTCTAATGTGATAATTGTGGTACAGTAGCAATTGATTAATGCGGAGGTATAAATAGCATACTCTTACTTCGAGACATCGCGTACAACTCTACGATATACTTGTCGTTCATAAATTCCGCATAAAAGTCGCGTTTCAGTCAGCGACGATTCTCGGGAAAACTTGTAATATACTTTTAGTTGTGATGAAGTTATTTTGTTACATCGATTTACGTACAAGGGCGCGGATAAGTTGCCCATTAATATTATACCATGTCATATCTCTACGCAGCAGTCAGGGGTTAAAGTCGATAAATTATCGGCCAATCCTTCTGATAGCGAGCGATTTTGTAACGATAGCGGTTTTTATTTCTTCTCTTTTATTTTCAGTCATAATATAATTGGTTGTTAACGATATACCGCATGTATAATTTATTTTAAAAAATATTGTAAGGAAAGAGAATTATATTTTATCCATTTATAAAAATTTCTATACTTTTTTGAAAACAACTAGATATTTTTTAAGTTATTGGAAAATTTTACAGTACAAAAATTTCAATAAAAATTTAAACAATTTTTAAATTAAGTTTTTTTGGAAATATCTGTTTCCTTGATAAAATACGATCAAAAAATATATTTATATATAAATTTTATAGAAATTCAAAAATGAGATTTGTTATAAAACTGTCTCAAGTACATTTTATGTTTCAATGTATAATTAAATATTCACATTGCGGTGAATCAAAGTTTATTATATGATACTATATTTGACTCATATAAAAGTCTATGTAAATTTTATAATTTACATAAAATTATGTTAAATTAAAATTGTAGATTTAATAATTTATATGAAAATTATATATTATATTAAAATTAGCAAGAAAATTTATATTAAATTTGATTCATAATTAAAATTTATTATGCGCAGCATAACTTGAAAATCTTCGAATTGAAATCGTACGTGATTGAATTGAGCACATTTTATATTCCAATTTTATTTTTGAGTTTGTTAAGTTTTTTGGTTTCTCGTCATTCTTTTATAAAAATGAGCTATAATTGATTCCCTTTTTTTATAGGCGTGACAATTAATGACAATTGATGAATTCGTTCATGCGGTAAATCTGCAAATCTGATCTACTTATTTCGATCGCTCATGAGAAATTTTCCTTAATCCCCGGCTGTACGTGTTACTTGGGGATGATATAGATGATATAGTTTTTTAATCTTAATCTAAAGCTATCTTAAGTTGGTACAATTTATACATGTAATTATAGCGTAAGTGACGGAGACGACAGATCTCATCTTAAATAAACGTTTAGAAATACTATATAGATTGATCAATACAATACAAAGCATATGTAATTAAAAAATGGAAGAATTACATACATTTTATCAAATCATTATAAAAGAAACCTGAAATTGCAACAATAAATATTAATAAGTAATGCAAATAAAATAATTCATGTGCAATAAATATGGAGAGATTAAAAATTGCATATTTTTTGAACATTTTTTGAGCATAGAAAATAATGAATTTATCTATTCTTTTCTTTGCTGGAAAAAAGTTTTTATGATAATTTCTGATTCATAATTATAATTCTTATAATTAAAAAAAATTAAGAAGCATTTAAAAATTATATATAGTTCTTACAAAGATAAAAAACAATGAATTTCTATTATTTCATCTTTGGGAATAGATGGTTATAGAGCAATTTTCAAACTTTTATAAAATTATGTAGCTATGTTACAATATGCAATCAAAAACATATAATACTTAAATCATAGTTCAATTCAACTTGGAATAACTTCGAGTCTACTATAAAAATTCCGATGCAAAAGTTTTTAATCGCTGCGATCTTTGATTTCAGGATGGTCTTGCACAACATGAGGATCGGTTGATCGAGATCGATCGTCTCCGTAGTACGTGGTATTATAGGCTCGCGGTCGCAACGACGTGAACGTCCGCCGTCCCTTCGTGGTGTTATCGATCGCCCGTCAGAATCGTTTCCACCGACGTCACGTTCAGCCATCGTTAAAATCGTAAGTACATACATACATTGTCAACTACGGCACACACGAAAGAGCGTACGACTATTTTCTCCTCGTTCAAGAACGAAAGCGATCGCGTCCAATCTACTTCTCGTGGAATTCTCTTCCGGAAAATCGCTCGCGTGTTATTAGCACGTCTATAGTTCAAACATGATTTAATATCCAACCACGATACTTATTAATACGACGATAATACACATTTTGAATTAGCCTGTGATCAAGTGATGTCGATACTATTCGTCGCGCTAACTTGACGCGAACGTCGATAATTGGTTCCTCCTCAAATGCGACGCGTGCACGGACCATTCCCCCCCACCCCACCCCTCCTCTCGTTTCGATTCTCTTGCGCTGTTCCTTTGATTGTCGCTAGAAGGAACAAAGAATTAATTGTTTGATGAAACAGAAGAGCAGAATGCATTCGGCACAATTTAGGAACTTGGCTTGAAACGCGATGCGTAAAGATAATCCGTAATTGCGCATAACAGCGAAATGTTTACGCGATTTTTTAGCGATATACGTGATCTATGTGCAGAGTTGCATCGTGTCGCTTCTCTATCGGATCGCTACAGCTGCTATAAGTATAATATGGGAGCGCAAAAATCGTATGTAATAGATTCACGCTGATTCCACAGTATAACACACTTAGCGCAGATGGAAAAACGACTTGAAACCGACGTCGGTTTAATGATATCGCCAGAAAATCGAGTAGCACGATTTCTCAACGCCCTCATTCTTTTCGGAGGATCAAATTAGTCTTACAAGTTTTTCTTATCAAACCACAAAGCACGTGGTTACAGAGATAGACGTTTCTACAGATTAATTTATTATCGTTAAATAATACGCTTGTGCCGTTTGATCGTTAAATCTTCGCGAATCCCTTTATTCGTACTGTCGCGAGAGAGACTTAGCTCTGGAAGAATAATCGCAGTAATCTTCTTGCGTGCTGATGTGATATCAGAAATCCGAAAAGGATCAGGTGGAACGTGACGGATGGGCTTCGCGGCTCAGTCGTCGATTATATCGAATAACATGTGAATAATTTTTAAACAATTCGATGTTTCTGACCTCCACACTAGATTGCATTAATGATCTTTGTATAGATATTGTATAAATATTGAGTTAAACCTTGGCACGGTCAAAATCGAGACGAATTACGAAAAGGGAGTACATAGACGAAACTGGTCCTTTGAATGAATTTTGTCTTATTCAATTTGGCGCATTTTTTTTTATCAAAAAGCAGTATTGATCTAAAAACAATATTTCATTTTTTATTATGTGATATTGTTAAGATATGATAATCGATCCTTAGATTCAGAATTATTATACTGCTCTTTTTCGTATTCCGCCTCAATTGTACATACATCGAAGACGTATCGTCTTATGCAATTAAGATCAGTAATGGTCTTCGGTTTTCACGATCGATGATTAACCGAACGCCGCTATCGTCGTTGCCGCCTGGAATCCGTGACGTAAACGATCTGGGAGAGTGTCATCATTGATCGATAAGCCCGCGACTCACATCGCGACACGTGTGCTTAGCCTCTACCATTCTCTCCTGTCTTTCTCTCACTCTCTCTTTATCTCTCTCTCTCTCTCTTTCTCTCCGCTACGTAATATAATATACCAGCTAGAAAAGGATCTTAATAATTTATATAGAAAATGTACAAGAAAATCTACATTCAACGAACGCGTGTGATATTTCTATATGGGTACGGTCGACGCGCGATGATCGAGCGAAGAATAAATAAATTAAAACAGAAGTCGCGTGAGGAAGGGGAAGCCCGGGGGCGAGTTTTGTGCCATTTACAACTGAGCGATCCGCCGTGCTGAAAAGCAACGCGCAATGCGCTAGTTGTCTTTACTTGTTTCCATCTGTATTAAGACAAGTCTCAAAGAGACATTTACGAGCAGTGCATAGCATCGAACAAACGTGTAAGAAAGACGCAGTATGCCGTTCTCGGTTTCCGGTCACGTTCGCTCAATTGACTGAAAACGACTCGCGAAATGCGTTGCCTTCCGCACGATATTATTTTCGATCGGGCGAGACGTGCGTATATCCGTCTCTCGGCAAGTGCCACGCGTTCCAATTTTAGATGGACGCATCTTGCGCTGGAGGGAGTATTTAAGCCGAGCAAAACGGATGCCCGTCGACTTAAATCCGCACGCTTCGAATTCCTAATAGCCGTCCTTAGAGCCGAATCTTAACGGAGCCAATTTATCTCTCGAACAAACTAATCTCTAAATCGTGCAAGACACGCCTGGCGACACGCTTCAACACGACCATTCAAATTTGTTTAACCGAATTAAAGTTTACCGAGCAGATTTGAACGTCTTCAATCACACGAACGTAATATTTCGTAATTTTTTCAAGCGCCACTGATAAATCGGCGTAAATTTGCAAAAGTGGGGTAATAAGTTTTCGGTCTTGCGTTTTATATATGAATTTTAACCAGTACTTGCGCGTGAAAGTTTGACAAAAAATCAAATAAAACAACCGAGAATTCTAAGTGTTTAAAGGAGATCCTTCGACTTAGCAAATGTTTGCTCAGCAATCAATAGGACCAGACAAAAACGCGGTCATTATTGTTGAAAGAACGCTACCGAGATTGACTTCCCAGTGTAGAGAGTGTATAGACCTATTGTGCTACTTTTTGCCCACGGATGCTTTGAAAAAGAATTGATTTTCCCCAATAAAAACATCGTTAATCTTTCAAGCTGTAAGCAATTGAAAATTTAAGCGGTTTTCGAAATCAAACATAAAAGATGTAAAAAAAGTAGTAAAATCTTATTCAATTTTAAGTAGAATTTAATGAATTTGAGAATTGATTCAATATTTTTTTAATGTGTTAAAAATTAAAAATTATTATAACAAACAATAATTATTTTTACAATATTCTTGCCGAAGAAAAACCTTCAAAGTTAGAATCTTCAATTTTGTTCCAGAGAAATGAAATATATTATATATTACTAAGTTCGAGATACTCTGTATTCCGTGTCCGACAATCAAGAGTCGTGTTAACTTTCTAATTAGGCAATCAAAATGATAACACGCTTCTCAGATTCCAACGTGATACAACTTTAATGATAATGTATAACGGGGTTAAATATATTTCACGCCTGAAAATATATTTTCTCTTATCCATTTGCTCCGTGTTCGTTTTCGTTTCTCTCTTTGCCGCTCTCGAAGTTTCATTGGATTCTCGCGCTGTTTCTCTCTCACGCCCACTTTCTCCGAGTGCACTGGCTCTTAAGACAAGATGGTCGCGAATAAATCAAATTTGAAGTGGCTAGACGTGGTACATGTACGTACGCATTTTGCACTTGTCTACTTGAGAGACCTGTCTTTTAGTACTGACGATGATACAAGCCCTTCAATGCTAAACGCGGTTGAATCATGCTTCTGTAGCAGGTGTGCTGCAGTTTTATCAAGAATATAAAGTCGAGACGTTATTATCACACGTACTTTCCTCTTGCCATTATTATTTATTGACGTCAAAATATTGTCACGATGCATAATTAATGGTCCACGTATCAAGAGACACGGTAGTGTCTCGCGCCAAGTTCACGCGTAGCGCGCAACGCAGGCGCAAGACCGACCGTGTATCTTTAATCTTATACGTAAGATTATTTTTTTAACATTTTAAATAATTAACAAATGTTTGAGATAACTTTGATAAAAAAAGAATTAAATAAAACAATAGTAAAAATTAGTTATAAGTTGTAAAAGTTTAATATTAAGTATATTTCTGACTTGTATTTAAAAGCAATTATTAAAATTCAGACAAATCTAGAGAAAAATACATAAAGCAAAGGTTTTATTACAAGAAAAACGTACTTAAATTTTTTATTCTCTCGAAATACTTGGATTTAATGATAATTTTATAAAATATTGATTTAATAAAAGTATAAAAAATTAAAAGCTTTAAATAAAATTTTCGTAAAACCAAAGTTTTACTTATGTATTTTTTTTGGTCGCTATCTCTGTTTCTTTTATAAGCAAAATAAAAGGGTGAATAAGATTAAAGACATTGCGCATCATATCATGTATCGCGCAATAATATTGGAACGCATATAATATTGGAAATTGATTTCGCTTTATCGAATCTATTAAGCTTTAATGACAGTGCCGTAATATACATATAGATGCATTAGCGCGTGCTCGTCCCTATATCGGATTCATGTCATATCACGTGCGGTCTATACATGTTCATGTTTTGTATATAGCAAATTGACGTTAAAGAATATGAATTATTATTGGAATAGAGTTTTGCGTGAAAGAGCTCGGTTGTTTCATGTATTAATATACCACAATCTCGCAATCTATTGCGCATTTACGTTACATATCATGGCACGCGACTTAATTAAAACCATCAATTTCTATCAATTGCGACATTGACTGCGACACGAGTGCTGTGATGCGAAAGTGAATATCTCTCATTTCAATCTGATTTGAATGCCGTATTAACAGTGCGGAAACGACGACATATTCGGGTGATTATCCGCCATCGAATAACGGTTGTACCGCCCGAAACACCGTACCGGCGGCGATTTGCGGTATTCCAGAGTAATTGAATCTGTCGCGTAAATTCGACCCAACATTTATCTCGCGACATTTCTCACGGACACGCGATTTATCGGGTGCGAACGGGCACGGCGTCGAGCCCTCAAAGATTCATGCCGTTCAATAAATCGCTTGTCACGGAGAAATGTCGCGCAACAAATGTCAGGAGTGAATCGACATCGTGGAATGCGCCCGCTCCACAGAGACATCAGGTATTCGTTGCCTTCGTGTCGCGGTTTACCGTTTTCGAACGAATTTAACGCGAGGGCATACGCAATTTAGCACAAAATTGGACAGATTTTTGAAGTCTCTTTTTCCAGTTGAAACAGCGGAACGAGTTATGCAAATATTTATGATATGTTGACGATAAGGATTATCTGATATTAGTATCCATCTGTCAGAATATGTTATGAACGATCGACAGTTATTGATTGCTCGCGGATCGCTTCGGGATTATTTCATCACGCAATGATGGCTTTTGCGCGCAACATGCACTGCTCGTGTCATTTCACGCGGCGGAAAACGCTCCTCTCGGTAAAATCGCCATTGCCCCTTTCGTTCTCCTTCCTCGTTGCCTTCGACGTGCGGTTGTCGACAAGTACCGCGCGCGCAAAACAAAATTGGCACCCCAATACCGGTATTCGCGGCAGGGAAATCAAGATATGCGGGTTCCTACGAACACGGTTGGGAGGGGATCGATTTCTCTTTTTTCCTCTCCGCCTTTTCTCTTTCTCTCACACATACACACACATACACATACATACACGCATTCTCTCTTTCATTCTCTCGTTCTCTTTCTCTCATTTTTTCTCATTTTCTCTCTCATTCTCTCTCACATTCTCTCTTTCTCTCCCTCTCCCTCCCTCTCTCTCTTTCTTTTCTGTCTCTCTATCTCGCTTTTTATCTCTTCCTCTCTTTCCGCGACGTACGAGCTCTTCAATGGCACGTTCTCGCCCTTCGCTGGAAACGGCGCATTCGGCGGTGCCATTCATCACGCCACTCGATGACGATCGACCTTTGCGTCACCGTGAGTCCACCTTGGCCAATGCCCTCGTTCTCTTGGCCAAGGATCAAGTACGATCTGCAAACATAATAGAATCGCGTGAGTATAACCGCGATCACCGTCCAGCCGCCGTCGGCTGCGCGGTTTCGCATTCGTTCAGACTCTGACTGATAGTTCACGGTCGTTGCAGCCGTGCCAGTTTCTAGATAATCGGGACTGTCTTGTTAAGAACCTTGACCGCGCCTGGCTTTTTTTGATTTTCAGTTCAAGGCGAGCGTAAAATCAAAAATGTCTGAAAGATATTTAAAGAATGCAAAAAAAAAAAAAATTAAGACGTGTATATTTCACATCTCTTTATGACGTCTGTTAAATGTGTTCCCCAGACACACGATGAGATTAACAAGTAATTTTAATAATCAACCACATAACAAGATTAGCGATTGAAGAGCGTAGTGTACGGGATTTAGAATTTTAAGGAGTCGTCACATTTATTTTTTAAGAATAGTTTGGTATTTAAGGATATCCCTAAGAAAAATCATAGAAATGCAAAATTTCAGGTTACTAAATTCTTGCAGCACAGCAATAACAATATAAATATTCATAAACGATGAAATAATTTCGAGAGTTAAATACATTAAAAACAATATTCAATTATTTTATGAAGAACAGTAAAGTACTCACTTATTAGGCTTGATTTTGGGGCATCTGCAGGCCAGGTCAGCTGAATGAACGTAAAGAGATATGTCACCACGTCGAATCCTTGAATTGGAGTTTTTCTTGTAAATAAAATCGACGTTTAGAGTGAATCGGATCCAGGATGTGCCTGTTACGCTTGTGCCGGGCTGTGAGCCATCGGTTTTCTTGTGTCTGTCCGTTATTCTGCCCAGAATAGCTGCAATGAAAAAGAACGTATTGAACATTGTGTTCCAAGTACAATATACGTAATATTACTATAGTATATAACTGAGAGAGTATCTGGAACAAGGGCATATAAATAAAATCCTGTTTTGAGAAAAAACGCATTTAACGGTTTTCTATTTTATCGTGCGGAATATTTGTGAGCATAACTGTAACTTCATGATATATTTAGATGATATGTTATAAAGGAAATCATAGTGTTGCGTTCTGTAAGATAAAATTATAAATTTTCCAATACGTTGTTTTCAAAACAGAGTTTTTATTTACGTGTGCTTTCTCAAGTCATCACAACACAATTTTAATTAGCTGTGCTCTTCTAGAATAGAATTTTTTTCAAACATAATACAAACGTTGCATAAACTTGACCTATATTGTTTTAATAATTGCAAAATTGTTACATATAAAAGAAAGATTAATTTTTATAAATTCTACTAAATGGGAACAAGTACAATATCAGGCGTATATCTTTCGATAAGAGTTTCTTTTTGTCGCTGCAAAATCTTGAACGGCTGTATCTAATTATAGAATCGATATTTTACGTTTTATCTAGAATCTAGAATCTCTATTGCGTATTCGACATAATCGACATCGGCCTTTAATATTGACAACGTGTTCCTTACGTTCAAAGGACGCCCGGATCCTTTCAACGGACGTCGAGACCGTAGAATCGAATGGGGGGATGCGGTCGAGACTTTTTTTCTTTCTTTCTCTCCCGTTACGATCGTACCATCGATCCTGTCGTCCTCAGGACAGGGATAGTATTAGCCTTTCGCCAAGGACTAGGGTCATGCCCCGGCGAAACGATTCAGCGTTGAGTTGCATTCGATCGAACCATTCATTATTCGACGTCGGTGTTACGAGTTTATATACCGTCGTGCTTGACCCCGAGTTTGCTATTCGAATCATAGGGCTGCGTTATTTCTCACGTCGTATTCTGGGGATTTTTCATTCCCCTCGCGAGAAAGGTTCAGGATAGCGAAATATATCTTTGTAACGGAAATATATATTTTCCCTGACAATTTTGTAAAATTTGCTTCCCTCGCACAGTTATTATATCTGTAATTTTCAATTTATTTACCTTTTTTCGTGGAATTACAAATATTTATGAGAAAGAAAATATAAAACGTGATTCCTTTTATTGTCTCTCAAATATTTGCATATCTGTCAATTTTGTTTTCATTCATGTTATCTGTTAAAATAATTTTGCGCAATAAAATTATTTTTAATATAAAATATTTTATGTTTAATATTTGAGAGAAAACATTTATACTAGAAATAATTGTTTTTTTAAAAACCCAACTATTTTTCCTGAAATACTGAAATCTCTGTTTCTTTTCTTTTTATCTGCTTTTATCATAGAATTTCGTAAAGTGGATATTTTTCTTGCGTTATAAATTACATACTGAAACTGCAGTAGTACAAATCTTCCATACGGCTCCCTTCGCGCATCTTTTTCTCTCCGTTGACAAAAAAAAAAAAAAAAAAAAATAACGGCGAGGTACGTGCGGCGTCGAAAAACGGCGCGCGATGCGTCGCCGTTCCCGATCGGTTTTGCTTTTGCGACGCGGCTGCGGGATGCGCGCGGTCGTTTCGGCCGCTATTCTAAGTCGGAGACAGTTAAGTGCAGACCTGTTGAAGATTTATCTGCGCTGAATCAAACGAAGGAGAGGAAGCAGGGAGCCGAAGCCGTCGGCCAAACTCGCGCCGGACCACGGCTCAAAGGCATACCATTCTATTATTGAAAGCCCCGGCACCGTTAAAACGCGAGCCTTTCATTTTTGAACAAGCCGTTATACACCACCGTATTCGCCGAGTGCCGTCACGGCCGTACGCAACAACCCTATCTCTTTTTTTCTCGCTTTCTTTAATGATTCTAATTCCTTTTCTGAGTTCGGAATTGTTTCTATGGTTTTAACAAACTCTAGACTTCGCGTATTAGAAATCAATAAGAAAGTAGTGTAGAATTTTAATCGGTAAATAAATCGCGGTTTGATAATACTATTAAAATTTTATCTATAAAAATTAAAATGTAAGAACAATTCTTTATACAAAATACTGTCTCTAGTTATCTTTCTGTAAATAATTTTTTTCAATTTAATGAAATTTTATTTAATTTTTTGATTAATTTCTTACGATAAATACGGAGTGTTTTTATGTGAAATCCGACATTCCTCTTATTCTCTCCCTGTTTTTCTCTCTTTCTCTTCATGTTCGTCTCTGTACGTATGTTTATGTTCGGCTCTTTTTCGAGGACTTTCGAGGGAGAGGACGGCATAAATCGTTGTTTCACATGTGCCCTCCACACATTACTGGGGCGGGTGCACATCTACCTCCGATAAAAGCCGAAACAATTCCGGTGGCTTTGTCGCGCAATGTTTTTTCACAGCGACTAGCCGGGAATCGACGATTGTCTATATCTCCACGTTTATCGTTGCTGCCGAACGTTTTCGTTTAGTTTGCCCAGCGTGATATAATGATATTGGATTTAGGAGTTACCTATTGTTACCTTTTCCATCGGAAAAACAACGAGGTGAACGAATTGTTCGAAGCTGTGTTCTTTGCTTCATCAATAAATCTATAGATAATTAAAAAGTGGTGAGATAGCTTTGTAAATACAGACGGATTTCAAGGAAATACTGTTATATAAAAATCACAATGTCTTCGTACAAGCTGTTTTATTTTTAGAAACTGCAGCAGCTGTGGCGGATATATATAGTGACGCGTAAAGGCTTTTAAAGAATCTTATGCCAAAGAAATTTATGTATGTACAATGTTTGGGTTTCTACGGGTTCCATTATATTACGCGCAATTAGTACCGTTCTCTGTCTACAATATTATTTGGTTTGGAGACACTTACCGTAGTCTCTTTTGCAGTACTTGTTGAGATTTAGCCTCTTCGTGCTGGCGCGGCACTTTCCACACTGATCTGCAACAAAAAGAAGTCGAAGACAAATTACACGGCTTTCAGTGGCTTAATCAATTTATGGCGGCGCGGGTTAACCCGCGGTAGTTAATTCTCTTGGGCGCAGACGTCGGCAAACGAGGAAACGCGTTGTTAGCAAAGCGTTTCTTTAAATTGCACGCGGAATACAATTCGGTTGAGTCGAGCAATTGTTGGAAATTGATCTTTGTGCAGAAGTTATCAAAATGATGAATGAACTGTCTATGAGTAATCGCACACATTACGCTAAAAATGCATTACGATCTTAGAAACAATTAATGTACGATGAATAGATAATATAATTATTTAGCTGAGAGTGATAAAGATTATTATTCTTATAGACTTGATAGAAATCAGAAAATAATATGGCTCTCTGCAATGATAAAAGAATGCTCTTTTTCTTGTGTGTCTATTCAAATTTTTGAAAATAATCATTAATAATCTTTCTTGAGATAATCTTGTGTATTTTAAATTGGGGATGGAGCAAGGATATTTTAGGAAATATTCTTGATTTAATTGTAAATAAATTTGTAGAGTTAAAAAATAAGTACAAAAAGATTAAAAATTGGAAAGTTAAGACAAGTCTCTATTTTCGTGAAGAAAAAATTAATTCTAAAGTAATGAACAAATTCATAGATAAAAAACAGGTCTGCCAGATTTGGGACAGCCTTATAATAGTAGCTATACATAACACAGATACGAGGCATGTCGAGTGAGACGCCAGACGGATGTCGTGACGTCGCGAACGGGAAGCTTCCGACCTCGTGTTGCGTTCATATCGCAGACACTTGGGTTACTTCAGTTCGTCTCGTCTCGTCTCGCGCTTGACACAGCCCATTATCATTCACCGACGTATCCATCCATCTATTATCTAGCCGCGACTATCCATCCATTATATTCCGTACGGTCAGCACTTCCCTGAAGCCCCCGCGCAGCCGTTCAATTAATTCCCCAGGCAATATGTTATAGTCCCGACTGCCATGGAGATTAAGAGAGGTGAGAATCAGCACCGTGACTAGGACGAAGCAAGAACACTTGCTTCAAGCGCTACGTTTCCCGAAAAAAATAGAAAAGTATCGAAAAAGGCTCAAAAATAAAATTAAAAACTAAAATAAAATAGCGAAATAATATGGTATAAAAATTCTTACGTATTTCGCAAATTAATATAAATATATATAACGTATGACGAATGTTATTACTACATTATTTTAATTATTTGCTGAGCAGGCTCGTACACGTGCGTTTGATTTTTGTATGAGTATTATTGAAAGGGAACAGCATGTCATAGGCATTAGCGATATTCGATTTGAAGTTTCAAAGTGGCAATAAAACGAGGTGCTATATTTATATCGGTCCAGGAAACGAGCGTGGGTAGGCAGATGCGAATCAACGTGACGCGCCAAATGCCGGCCGCATGGGGCTAACTGGCGAATTAACGTAAGCCAGCCCACCTGGTGCTGGCTGCGATACCACATCGACGTTTGCTCGTTCGTACGCTGCGACGTTCGCTGGATCGCGCACGTGTCGAGGATTGAAAGCGCGTGATTGATCGGCCGGCCGGCAGCGTGATCGAGAATTGCCCGCGAGATCGGCCGACTGTTGCTCGACGCGTTGATTTATCGGCAGCGACGTGGTTGGATTTCGTAACGCGATGGAGATGGTAGCTGACGAGGGAGTTTTCTAGTGTCAGATCTAAACTTACGGTCCAATAATACAGGTTACAAGATAAGATCTTCCTCCAAAATAAGTTATAAAGTCTATTAGTTGTTACTGCATATTGTTTGATAATCGAGCCTTTTAAAGTAACAGTCGATTAATAATTAATTCAGATAAAAGTTATTATCACATTTTTGCGAGTGTTTAAATAATAAAAACCTGAAATATCTATTTTTGCATTGAAAAATTAAAAGCCTGTAAGAAGCACAACGTTCTTAACAGCACAATTTGATATGAAAAGCGGCAAATTAAAAATTGTTGTATGTAGATTAATATAAAAGCGTGTGTATAGCATTCAAACAATTGGTCCATACTGTAAAATATTTAATACGTTGTGTCTATATTATTTTTTTTTATTTAGATAAATTTCTGCAAATAACATTATTTGAAGAGAAAGAAAGAGAGTTTGCATTAGTACGCGTTAGTTCGTTCAATGAAACTCGCTATTACATTTGTTTGTGCATTGCGAAGCGCGTAGGAATGAACTACATCGAGCAGGAAGTTCGCGCGAGAAGCATGCGTCGGAGCAAATATTTAAAGCTGCTGGATAGGTAGCGCAAAATATTTGTTTTTCGATTCGAGAACAACCAGTTCTTTCGCATGCGCGGTATTTTACGACTTCGAACGTTGCGCATCTGGCTCGCGAGAATGGACGGAATGAGCAAAAAGCAGGGCGACAAAGAGAACAAAGATGCTTTTTTTTCGAGTCGAATAACACGCGCGCGAGTAATATCCTTTGCGTTCTGCGCGCGTTAGAACAGATATGGACATTAATGAGTAACTGCTAATTGAGCAAAATTAACATTATCTTATTTCTGTAGAAAATATAAAAAAGAGTAACAAATGAATTTTTGCAAAACTGAAAATACAAGAATATATTAGCATGTAATTATATAAAGTATGCAGTGCTAGATACATCGATGATGATCTCATTGCATCTTTCATTCATTACGTAGTTTAAACAATATTCTTCTGACGCCAAATTAATAGAGTTTAAATAAAAGATTCGGCAACAACTATAAATGATAAAAAAAAGAATAAATTACTTTTCTTTAGATTGTTCCATTGATACTCGATGCCTTCCGGTTCTTCTCCTCCTCTCAATAGTTCATTGATGACTGCTTTTTCATGGTATTTACTCGTGAAAATAATTGCGATCACGTGATATTTTATACGACATTAACTGATTACCTGATGCAAAATTTGTTATATTGTGATGTAGGAAAAACTTGAGAAAAGCATGAGTTACATTCGTTTGATACTCGCAACGAAGAAGCACAACAGTGAAGGGAAATTGCATAGTAAATTATACATGTGGAACGATTCTGCGAATGAGCAAGGTGATAGCGCGTAGACAAGAGCGTACACCATGACGTCGATTATAACAACAAAAACAGTCGCCGAGTTGCGCGTTCAAATATTTCGGTAGCTTGTGACGCCGGTGGTTGTTTATGTTTTTCGCGCGAGGTCACTGCGTACGCGACATAGTACCGTGCGATTGCGTGCTTTTCTCAAGCTTTTTTTGATATGACGAAGTTCGGTTAGTACGAAATATCGCGCAGTCGTATTTTAGCGAGTGAAAGAGCAGGACTGAGAGGAGGAGGAGGCCTCGGAGGGCATCGGGCATCCACGGAGAAGCTGTAAGGTAACTGATTTATCATTTATTTGTTATTTGCTACATGTAAGATAAATTATAATCTTTCAATTGTGCTTGACTCATATAAATATGTTCGGCCACCTGAAATTCCCGAGCACTAGTTAATAATTAATTCAAGGAATTAAATTTTCTGCAACTTTTAAATATATAAGAGAGTAATATTTTCATTTCGACACGAAAAACCAATTATTTAATAAGATTTCTCAACTGGTTATTACGCTAATAGATTTGCCCTATTTCTTGTTCGCGTGTCGTTTGTCAATGCGTACGTCGCCGCGAGGAACATTTGATAAATGAGAAAGAATGAAAGGCACTTTGCACTTGCGTGAGTTGAGAGAGAAGGGAGAGATCTTTGACCCTGGGAGTGTCGGGCTTTTTGCCGGATATTATCATAGACTCCTGTAATATACATCGGACCGCTAAGCTGGTGAGATATGGTGCGAAGCAGTGCCACTGCATGCAATACAGGAAGCAGAAAATATACGATTGATGAAATATACATGAAGCATGAGATTCTCTTTGTCATATTTTAGATGCCAACTTCTTGAACCGCTAACTTAATCTCTTAGCTTATACTTTTTTCAATAAAATAAAAACAGGCAGAATTAAAAGGATTTCGTAAACGAATTGCATTTTCTTATCCGAGAAACTGAAGGGATTAAGTAGAATTTTATCTTATTTGAAAATTGTTTAAGTAAATATTAATGATTTTTATTGTTATTAAAACTTGGTATAAGACTTTCTTGCTTCTCGAGTACTACAGATTTACGTCGGCCGCGTGTTTGCAGTTCGCCCACCGCTTCGATCGCGTGCGAAAGCGGTCCATGTCGATCCTGTAATTACGGCTAAACGCCTCCGAGAAAACTAATCCTTCTCTCGCGGCCGGTGTTCGTTTTAACGCTCGGCGGTTCGAGGTTTAGCGGTTACGCACTGTCGAAGCCAGCAAGATTACGCATGCCCTTATTTATCTCGTTCTTACCGCGATAATTTCACCTCTGTCGATCTCTGCCTGCCGGCTGTTCGCTAACTTAATTCTAATTATTAACAGCGATCTCTCCCGTCGTGAAAAGCCGAACACATCCGCAGTATCCGAGCACGAATAAAAAGGTAAAAAAAAAGGAAAAAAAAAAGAAAATGATTAGCGGGTGTGATTACACGCGTGAAAACATGTACAGGTGTACTCATGTAAAATTAATTCGCTCGCGGCTGCCCGCTTGAATTGGAATAATTGGATCTTTTTGAGATCCATTTATTAATATCGGAAAAATGGAAATGTAATTTCGATTCATTCCCTGTTACATGTTAATGCTACGCATGGTAGAGAAGGGAAGCAAATTATGCAAAATCGCTGTGGTATAAAAGATCAATAGTGTGTATAGCAATTTCAAACCCTTCTGTTAAATTAAATTAAAAGTAAAATAAAGCGTATTGAGAAAGTAATACAATATCCTGTTATTAAAGTCGTGTTATTGAAGTTTCATTTAATTCGTGAAATCCCATAATTTTCGATATATCTCTGTAATTAGGTCACTCGTTACATCTTCATTACAAAAGGTTGAATTTCAAATTTGTTTAATTACTAAAATGTTTTCTGATATTAGTTATTGCATTTATTTGGTCAAAAGTTTTGCACGAAAGCAAACATGACAAATTATTACTGCGCTGGCAGTATTGTTATAATAATTTAAATTATTCACAGATTTGCCTTCTATTCTACTCTTTTTTCACGTAGAAATATTGTTCAGTTGATTTTTTGTTTTGTTTTTGAAAACTCCGAAACACAAACTATGCTTTTGTGCCGGATTGTTCTAAAATTATCAACAATTTTAAAAAACCGTCAGCTTGTTTCATAAAATAAAATATGAACAACTAAAAAAACTGTGAGTTTTATGTATGGTATATAATATGATACCAATATACGCGCGGCGCGCATGGAAAAATAATAGTGAGCTTGCAGTGACATATACCATAAACGCATGAAATTGGAAACGAATAAAACATAATTATTCAGTTACTAGACTTTCTCTCTCTCTTTCTCTCTCTTTCTCCGAGAATAAATTATAAACAGGTGTTGTACAGTTTTGTGCGACGCCGTTTCGAATTAATGATGTCCGTGGCACCGAGTGTCAGAGTAATAAATGTTTGTATACACATAAGAAACCCCGCTAATACACCAGTAAATAATCGCACAAGTGGATATGTAAAGAGAAGATATATGTCTACCGTCGCTTTGTAGGATTTCAAGATAATATCCTAATGTAATGAAATAACAAAATTAAAAGTATAAGCAATAGGGAACGTAATGTTTAGAGTATATAAAAAAAGAGATAAACAAACATTCTGAAAAAATAAACTAACGTTTTACAACCATATCAGTTCTATCTGTATTTTTATATAGATATTATTTTTATTTTTCTTTAGCATCTCACAGAGTTGTTTCGTTTCTTATTTCGCAAAAATCGCGTCTCGTAGGAATATCTCTGTAAGTTTGCATTTTTCGCGAATTATTCTATAAAGCATTTTATCAAAGTCTTTTGTATCTTATTATATTTTGGTACATAACATGCTTCTGGCGCGGACAGCGGGACAGCGTGTACGAGCGCGATACGTCTGCCAGTAAGCGCCATTCACAAGCGTCCTTTAGACGAGTCGCCATTCATCCTGGCCCATTCATCGGCCAAACATATGACGGCGACTGCGGTGCGGCAGCGGCTGGAAGTAGATTTAGACGCGCGATTTAGACGCCGATATTCGCATGTACACGCGCGTGTAATCCGCTTAGATTCAATCGTTAATAGGAGATGTCCGATCAAGCTTTTCTTTGTGACTTCATCGTCAATTTGTAACGACATCGTGATAGCCGCTATTAATGACGCATAGAATGTTTCTCTCTGTGGGATTTCGAATACAAAATAAAATATTGAATTCGCTATCATTATATAATTGTAATTTTAAGCTAAAATTGGAAGTTAAAATTATTTTCCAATACATTTTATTTTATTAAAAGCAATGAATATAAAGTAAAAAACAATGAATATTATAAATATTATTTTAAAAAATTATAAAATTTTAAAGAAAAATTGTTTTTATAATTTATTATAACACTAATTTTTAAATCATGATATTACATGATATTTATACTATCTAATTTCATAATTTACAATTAGCAATGCGAGTCCACGCGATATTAATTTGAAAGACTGACATCTCCGTATCCGTTGAGGCTGGCTTAAATTCTGGAAGTTATTTTAACCTTGACTATGCGCATATTTTTAGTCAACCATGTTCTCGGCGGATTAATCGTTACCGAGAATGATGTTACGCAAAGTGATGTAGAATTTCGTGATACTTGTTTTCATTGGACTGACCTGATGCTATTTCTATTTTACAAGAACCATATTGCTGTCAGTGCGCTTTATTAGTATAAAAGGTTATGAAAACATGCACAGATGTTTATTTAAACTTTTCAATATCGGGTTGTAGTGATCGGGTAAACTGTGTCTTAAACTTTTGTTTTGGGAAACTAAATTTTTCCTATCTTCATTGAAAAAATTCAAGGGAGTGCACATTCTCTTAATCTTGCAGCGTGCATGGTGTGCAGATTCTTTCCAGGCGACGCCGTTCCTAGCGGCGGACGTAGATTAATCTTCCGCAACACGGCGATGTTTTCCTTGGCAATGGAACCACGCCGCGCGCAGGAACGTGCGCGAGGTTTAGAGAAATGAATTTCGTAAATTCCCACCGTAGCCGTTGCTCTTTTAAAACCGCCAAGAAAAACATCAATACTGACACGATACTATTGCTTATTCGTCGCAACGATACATAAGACGAACATAAAATTTCAATTTTCAAACGTCTCTCTGTAATGTACACGAGACGCTCAACTACCGTACGAAAATATCGTGACAAAATTACCGTAATGCAACGACTGTGTAAAAGCTCGTTTATCATATTGGAAAAACTTTTTTTTTTTACAAAATAAAAATTGAGGTTTAATTATATCATATTTATTTTATTCTTTAAAGCAAGAAAAAAATAATGAAATTTTATTCGCAGTTTTCTTTAAATAGATACTTATAATACAATACGCTTTAACATTTGTGTACAAGACTGATCCTACGTGTATTTCACGCTCAACCTAGCTGAATGCGTGTAGGCGTTTGTGAGATATTTGTGAGGCGAGATGTATACCGGTGTTCGTCAACTAAATCCAGAGTTCGTGAGGAAAGACTTCCTGGAAGCTACCAGGAAGCTAAGATAAGGAAAGAAAGCGGAGGTTGAGAAAGAAAGAGCGAGAGAGATCTGCGTATATTTCGCTCGCCTCATTCAGGTATTCGTGGAATAATGAGATTATATTGCGGCAGCCAGAGTAAGGTACACAAGTGCAAGTCGTTGCTACAGAAAGTGGGACGGGCATGCAATATTCACTCGTGGAATATTTTAATACGACGAGACAGAAAAGAATAGCTGCGAGAGAAATATGGAGGATTAAACTAGGAAAGACGCAATTGTATTATGCGATGTGTGAACATATTTTATAATTTAACTAATTTTTGGTATAAGGTTGCTATGCACATTTTTCAAGAAAAACATTTAAATTTACTGATTTTTAAAAAGTTTTAAATTAAAATTTACAGTACTCAAATCAGAACATTGTTAGCGGGACATATATTATAATACTTTTGAAAATCGTCCTAGGTCTTTGGGCTTTTCCCATAAATCCGACATCTTCCGCCCGCAGGAAGCAGAACAGGAGATTGCTTCGAAATCAATTTGCTTTGACGTAATTCATCTCCGCGGTCTGTTTGAAAGGGTCAGGATCATCCCTTGTTTCGAAGCGAGAAGCTAGTCAACTATCAACTATCGCGCTTAATGTGTAATGAAAGCGTACTAACATTAACAATATTTCGAGAGAAATTCGAATCAAAGCGTATTTGAATACAAGAGAGAGATAAATTTTTAATTAAAAGTTAAATACTATACGAGATACTTAAAATATTGAGCTCTTTATATATCTCGTTAAATTTATATACATACATTTTTATTTAAATGGGTCACAAAAATTAGTTTTTATTATATTGAAATCAATTGTGCGAATTATATAAAAATAGTATTTTTCATAATTTAAAATCCGAAAAAATAGAATTTTATTTATTATTATGCTATGCTATAGTCTGTTTTGGATGCTGTTGCAATATGAATATATTTTTATTTTACAGATAAACTTTCGTGCTAGTGAATCATCAAATTTGTTTCGTTATAATTCCGTTATCGTAAAATAATAAAATATGCGTCGAGAATGCCGTTAATGTCGAGAGTTATAGCGAATCTATAGATGAACGCATTTTTGCTGTATGACAAATATTGGGACACGATTTTTTTTTACTTTAGGCTTGGCTCGGGGGAGGGAAAGGTCGGTTTCAATCATAAAATCTCGACTACGGCAGGGCAATCTTCGGTTCTACGTGCAGCGCGCTAGTTGTACAGATAGCCGGACTGTCGAAGGTAGTCGAGGACGGCTACCGGAGTTAGTCAAACGCTACCGATTGCTTTTTCAGATGCCTTGTATCTAGTCGGTTGATTGGATGACTAATCACCTCATCTTCTTCGAGCTTATCTTTGCCTTCTGTTTTGAGAGAATCGTGCCCCAATTGGTAAATGTGGTCGTCTGAAACACGGACGGAATTCGCGCGTAACGTCACAGCTTGGACAATTCGGTTCGATTCGCCTGTGATGTCGGGAGTGCCGTTTTAAGTATCGCGCGATTTTCGTATTCAGGTACGCATGCGAGCAATGCATGCGCCGCGAACGCGTGTGATTCAATGTGAGTGCTTCGAAGGACCACTGAGAGGAGGAGGAGGCTCAGGAGGAGCATCGGGCGCCGGCGGAGCAACTTTACGGTAAGCAATAATTCATTTATTTGTTATTCGCAAAATATTGCATATAAAATATTATATAATGTAGCGGATATAAAATATTTAAAATACTTTAAATATTTAGTAAAATATTTATAATAGTAAATGAATATTCACTATTTTTAGAAATTTTTTACATATTATTATTTCAACTAATTAAACTTTTTTCTTTATTCAAAAAATATATTTTTGAAAATTTTAATTCTCTGAGTCGGAGA